AGATCTTGTGCACACTCAGGAGAAAGGATACCTAATGGCAAAAACAGGGCATGACCAGTAAAGTTTTAATCTTTTCTGAACTTTCTTTGCTTTGAATTCTGCCTCTATGAGGCTGATAAATGTTTTCATTGGCAATGAAGATATTTTAAGGCAGGGATTATGTGTTAAACCTCTCTGGTTGTGCACCCAGTAATCAGCGAACTAACTTGTGTGGAAGAACATATTGCTGTATTAACACTTCTTTCCAGTAGTGATTCCAAAGTGATTATACAGTCGTCCCTTGGTATACCCATGGGATTGGTTCCAGGACCTCTCCGCCTCACCCGCCCCCTCACCTATATACCAAATCCATGCATGCTTAAGGCAAGTCCCACAGTCAGCCGTGCCGAACTCGCACATAGGAGAACTCAGCTGTCTGTACAGGTGGGTTTCATATCCCTTGAGTACTGTATTTTCAATCCACATTTGGTTGAAAAAAATCCACGTATAGGTGGATCTGTGCCGTTCAGACCTGTGTTGTTCAAGGGTCAACTGTACTTTTTTTTACTTGAACACATAAAATTTTCATGGAGGAGTCCAAATTCCATAAAGGAGTTACATCGTAAACTCAAAAGGCTCTATAGAGAAAGATTATTACAATAGCAAAACATGTTTGCAGAACAAAACAATGACTCAAGTCTTGGACGTGGACCCACTTATTTCAAATAACCATCCATTGGCTGTGTCTCTAGTATTTGTTGAACAGAACTTCAGCTACAGTAAGAAATCTTGCCTGATGAGAGATTATGATTAAGAATTACTGAATGTAACTCAGTGTTTTCTAACATCCTTGAGGAGCATATATTTGTTTTAAAGGTAAATCTGGAAAATGAGTTTTAGGAAAAAGTTAATGTGCATTTACTTGGGAGGTAAATAGTTAAATTAGACTCTTTTCCTTGGCCTTTCCAAGGAGGTTTGGGTTTCATGTTGAGTTTTGTTGTAAATTGAAATTCATTTGCAGTGAGAAAGCGTGTTGAGAATGGATTTTGTCAGGTTTGTCCAGAGACTGTTGTCATTGGTCTGGAAAGGGAAGGATCTTACTCCCGTGGAATCTTTGGCTTCTTCCAGAATGTCCTCATTTGGCAATTCTGGGTGAAACACGTTGGTACATTTTTAAGTAACTGTAGTTTGACGTCTTGGAGTTTGTTGGGACGTCTTGGGAACAAATCCAAATAAACCGGCATCTGCCTTCTGTTTGCCTTGTTCGTGCTTTGCTGTTGGCCAAATCACCTCTCTCAGCACAATCTCAGCTCGCTGCAACCTCCGCCTCCTGGGTTCAAGCAATTCTCCTGCTTCAGCCTCCCGAGTAGCTGAGAGTACAGGCACCCACCACCACGCCTGGCTATTTTTTGTATTTTTGGTAGAGATGGGGGTTTCACTATGTTGGCTAGTCTGGTCTCAAACTCCTGACCTCATGATACACCCACCTGAACCTCCCAAAGTGCTGGGATTACAGATGTGAGCCACTGTGCCCAGCCAATGACCATTCTTTATTTTGAACTCTTTTATTATGACATGAGAACATTAATATTATCTTTTCAATAGGTACTGAGAAGGCATTTGATACAATCCAGTATTCATTCCTGGTGAAGATTTCATAAACCAGCAATAGATGGATACTTTCGGCATGAGTAAATATCTCTATCTTGGTCTAAAACCTAGCACTGAGCATAATGGAGAATGGAGGAACACCATATGTTTCCATTAAAGTCAGAAACAAGGCAAAGGTGTCCAGGCACACTGCAATTATTTAACATTATTCTGCAGGTACTAGCTAATTCAATTAGGTACAAGAAACTAGGCATCAACTGAAAAAAGAGGAGGTGGCCAGGCATGGTGGTTCATGCCTGTAATCTTAGCACTAGTTGAGGTGGGTGTATCACTTGAGCCCAGGAGTTCAAGACCAGCTTGAGCAACATGGCAAAACCCATCTCTACTAAACATACGAAAACTGAGATGGGAGGATCACCTGAGCCTGGGGAGATGGAGGCTACAGTAAGCCATGATCCTGCCACTGCACTCCAGAGAGACACCGTCTCAAAAAAAAAAAAATAATAATAATAATAACATAACCATCATTTGCAGATGATATCATGATATATCTGGAAAATTTAAAAAGAGTCATTTGAAAAATTATGTCAGACAATATGGAAAGTAATTTGGCTTGGTAAAAATAAATAAATACAGAGAAATAGTCTTTTTTTTTTGACAGTCTCACTCTGCCACCCAGGCTGGAGTGCGGTGGTGTGATCTTGGCTCACTGCAACCTCTGCCTCCCAGGTTCAAGCAATTCTTATGCCTCAACTTCGCAAGTAGCTGGGATTACAGACAAGTGCCACCACACCTGGCTAATTTTTGTATTTTTAGTAGACATCAGGTTTCACCATGTTGGCCAGGCTGGTCTCAAACTCCCGGCCTCAAGTGATTT